AAAAAAAAGAAAAAAAAGGGAAACTACGTACGTAGTATCAACGAGAGATCATCATCCCCCATAGAATAGTCATACACATTCCTCTCCCTATGGACAACATGACAGAAAACAGCCTGTAGAGTACCCACATACAAGCCATGAAAAGCCAACGGCTAACGAATGCCCTAAAATGCAACCGTGGACTAGATATCATTAGCTGATGTGACCTAGTCGATCACAATAAGAAGCGTTCTTTGTGATTAACAAGGCCTGCTTTTCTAAAATTGGGCTTTCGAAAAGGGATACCCAATCGAGCCGTTAGTAAAAGAAATAGTCGGATGCCGGTTCAAAGACTACTTATTCCTATTTCTGGGCACGACGATCATCCCAACCAACTATGGACGGGACGGACGAATTTTTGTTCCTTTTCTCCGCTCAGGAGATGGTCCGAATAGGGTAGGGAGTTGCGAGTTTTGGATTGAGGACTTTTATTATTATTTTCATTTTCATTTTTAGTGGTTTGTGAGCCGGTCATGAATGTTCCAATTATATACCCATATTATGTATGCAACATACTCCGTCTGCAATGGGGAAGTAGACTAGTAAGTAGACGGTTGATGTTTGCTGATCTCCTTTGTCATCATTTTGTTTTTTCTTTATTCCTTGATGAGACTCGCTAATACTCTTGGAATTGTATGTAGATGGTGTCATTCATTTCATGAAGCTTGAGATTCCTCCTATCTTTGATCCACTTCGAGTGTCATGAATTGTCACTCACCTTGTCGCTAGAGGCGGTACGACGCATTGAGACGGTTTTTTCGTGTAGAAGCTTCTCGTGTAGTTCGGTGCTGCATATTGGTGCACGCGGGGGTCGGATAGAGTGCATACTCTGCTATTCACTGCGTTAGTCTAAACGCTGACCGTTTGGATAGATAGCATTCGGGGTTGTAGTTGCCATGACAAGTATGGAATCCATACTGGTTCAGCGTGAGAAAGAAATACCTTTAAACTCATTGACCCACCTCTTCAGGATCCTTCATCTCGTGATCTGACGAGTTGCGCTTCTCAGGTGGTGGCGACGACCGCTTTGCGGCGTTGTCTTCCTGATCAGTCACTCTCTGTCGCTTTTCACTACGGACGGATACAGAAGAGGTGTTACGCCGTCTGCGGGCAGCAGGAGCATATCGCTGAATGGAGCGACGTCTCTTCTTTTCCCTGTTGTGGCTACGGCTGCGACTGCGGGAATCATGACGGCCCGGACTGGAGCTGGTGCTGCGAGAACGGCCTCGTCCTCGGCTGCGGCTACGGCTGCGACTGATACTCCTCGAGTACCGACGTCTGCGGGTATCATCGCGATTTCTGCTGCGGCTGCGACTCAAGCGGCGATCGTCACGGTTCTTGCGGGCCTTTGCAAAATCAGCGGTGGATTCTTTCTTATCAGCTCTTGAAGAATAAGGCGAAGATCTTCTCCGTCTGGCGCTTCTATCACCCGGCTCACGCGACCTAGAACGAGATCTGGAATAAGAGTCTTTTCTGCGCCGGTCCTTGGGAGCAGGGGAACGGGATGAACTGTGGGAAGAAACGGATCTCCGTCTCCGTCGGTCTCTTCTGGGAGTACGTGAGCGTGAGGAATCACTGCGGGAAATGGATCTAGCTCGATCACCGTAATCAGGACTACGTCTCCTCGGCCTCCTGTCTCTGTCTGGAGATACAGAGCTGCCAGGCGATCGGCGACGCCTGTTTCTGTCCCTGCTTGGCTGGCGTTCGCGACGAGGGGGTGGTGAGCGAGACGCGGAGGGAGAACGGGAGCGGCTTGGTGATCTAGAAGGGCGACGGTTCCTGCGCGAACCAGAGGGAATATAGGAGTCGAACTCGCGGCGTGAAGGCCGGTCCTGGAAGCGATCACGGCTGCGACGTCTGTCAAAGTCTCGACCTCCTCCGCGGCCACCACCACGCCTTCCACCTCTTCCCCGCTCAGAACGTTCCCTCCGCCTGACCTCCTCTAGTTCTCGTTCTCGGACCCGTTCTTGTTCCTTTTGCCGGCGAGCTTCTTCCGCAGCTTTTTCGGCTTCAATCTGTGATACAGTCAGTAGGGTAGAAGCGTTGCTAGGTATACTGTAACTTACCTTCTCCTGTATGAGTTCGAGCTTCTTAGCCTCCAAAAGCTCCTTCGGGACACCCTGAGGGTTTTCTTGCGCACTGAGGCATAGGGACCAAAGCTCCTTGCAAAACTTGGCAGTATCCTTATCCAAGAAACCCGTAAGCTGGATCTGCAACGACTTGACATCGGGCTGGAGATAAATGAAGCAATTAGTATCATCGCGGAGTTCGTAAAGGACCACAACGTACAAATCGAGACCCTTCAAGCAAATTGAAACAAAGCTCAATGACGACATCATCCTCATTTCCTAGGATCTCCGAGATCTTTCCGGCAATCCATCTGCGACAGGGTCACGCGTCACGGTTAGCGTTGAATTGACGTTCGGTGAAAGCTCAGTGCACTTACTTCTTCATGACCTCGATATTGACCTTGGTCATGTCCACCTTCCGACTGAATTCGGGAGGGAACTTGGTCTGCCTCAGGAGCTTGGCATCTACGCTGGCCGCCATGCTTGCAAGCTGGTGGTCTGATATCGAACCTGCACTGGTGTTGGGGAAAGAGAACGCGTGAGACTCCAGTTATCAAGCGATGAGACTGCGCTGTTGGCCGCACCGACAGGCCGTAGCGCAAGGTAAACTCGGTGAAATGTCGGGCCGGGCACCATCCAATGATACTCGATTGGGAAGTGCTGGAAAAGACTCAAGTAGACGCTGTCTAAGGACCACTATTTTGATGAGGATAGGTCAAACAGAGCCTGGTTTACTTCTTTTTCGACTACTATTGGCTTGTTGAGGTGTGATTTCTGATTCTAAAAGTCATTACGGGCTATCACGTACTCGGACAGGCGCATAGTATCCACATTGCATTGATATCAGCGGAACGCGTTCCGAGTAGCTATCGGCTTCATCTTAGCTGTATTGCATGTTATCATTGAAGGATTAGCGTAGTAGGGAATACATAGCCCTTTCAACCCACTATTGAATACATAAAATAAACATCATATCATACATGAGTACTTCATAACCACCCAAGGGAACAATGACACCAATATCCTTCCTACTTATCAATGCCCAAGCTCCATCAGAACACGATTCACATCCTCTCTCGCACGCGCCAGCTCCTCATCAACGGTTCCATCGGCATGCCGCGCTTTAATCTCGTAATGTAAGTCGACGAGCTCCTTTGCGCGCTGGAGATCATCATTTGCTTTTTCGCTTTGCTGGCTTGGGGCAGCAAGGCCGCCATCCGCTGGAGAGAGCTCAGCGGGTATCCTTTCGTGAACAGTGACGAGTGCGAGGGCGTCATTGTAGTCCTGGACTCGTTAGTATGAGGAAGACTTAATTCCAGGAACTGGCCTTGTTGGTTTGATTGAGCTACCATATCAAGGGATAAAAAGGCTACATACGCAGACTCTTAATGAGGTCAAGTCGGATAGTATTTCGGCTACTTGCATATTGATGAATGTGTATCTTGGTGTTGACAACCTAAGAAGAGTGATTTGCGAAGCTATAACAGTAAAGCTATCAGTATGAGAAGTAGTGAGAGCAAAGGGAATGTCTTGGCAGATATGCAGTATGCAAGTTCTACTAGTCTATGTAAGATGCATTCAATATGAGACTGTTTCATCCTTTGATAGAAGTCTATTTGTTTATCTTTCAGCAGTGACGTAAGAAGTCACCCAGTCCTGGATGGCGATCATGTTAGACCTGAGACGAGGAAGAATACTAATAATTTCGAATTTCCCCACAAAGTGAAATCCCCAGATAGTAATGTCAATGAGTCACCACTAGCATTTCCTATCAATTAAATCTACACGGGTAAACATATAGACAGATCGCAGGCATGAAGCTCCGAGACTCGGAGAATCCGAAGGCTTCTCCGCAGAAAGACTTCGGCCCCCAGTTCCGGCGCATCGGCTCTTCCCCGACGGAAATCACCTATATTAACATTGCCCCGTCCTCCCTCGCACACCGGCCCCTCATATTCGCTCAATTACATAAAATATAATCGCAATGGCAGCCTCAATTAAGGCCAATTGCCGCAAGGTCATTTGCATTGGCCGCAACTATGCGTGAGCTTCTTTCCCCGAGAATCATCCTAGGTAGCTCGTACGTCAGGCTAACGCTTATCTGCGAAGCGACCATATCACGGAGCTCAAAAACACCGCACCCAAGCAGCCGTTCTTCTTCTTGAAGCCCGCTTCGGCCATTCTGTGTCCTGGCGAGGGCCCCGTCTTGCGTCCTAAGGGAACAAACCTACACTATGAGGTCGAATTAGCGCTGGTGATGGGAAAGACACTTCGGGATCACGACCCGAACGATGAGAAGGGAGCTTTGGATGCTATTCACAGTCAGTCCCCAGCGCTCGGATTGTTTCTTCTTTTCTCGAAAGGCAATTCACAGACAGTTTTGGATGGCTAATAGTCCATTGTCTCCTACAGGCTACCTTCTCGGCATTGACATGACCGCCCGCAACGTACAAGACGAAGCTAAGAAGAAGGGTCTCCCATGGTCCATTGCGAAGGGATTCGATACCTTCCTACCTGTCTCTCAAGAAATCGCCAAGTCGCGAATCCCCAACCCTCACGATGCTTTCCTTCGTCTAAGCGTCGGCTCCCAGATGCGCCAGGCCGACTCGACCGGGTTGATGCTTTACCGGATCCCAAGACTGCTGGCCGAGATCTCGCGGGTTATGACTTTGGAGAAGGGTGACGTGGTCCTGACTGGCACACCGAAGGGTGTCGGAGAGGTAAAGGCCGGAGATGTGATGAGAGCTTCCATCGAAGTCGGCGGAAAGGAGATCGAGGAAGGCCGGATTGAGGTTGAGGTAAAGGATCGGGAGGGCCGTTACCTGTACGCTGAGACTTAAGCTGTTGATGAATATGTGATTGTATGAAGTTCCGATACTCAAGATATACATACCTCAATGCAACACTTCATTGTGTGATCTTGCGCACATCCGGATATATGATACAAGAGGTTTGATTCATGAATTCATCTCAAGAAGATCGTCTTCATCCACTGGTACTATAGGTATTACTCTTCGCTTTCTCTTCTTCTTGTGCTTGATCGGAGTGTTAGGCTTCGAAGCCTCCCCGGTTTTTCCTGAGCCTGCCTTCATTCGAACAGGCAATTTGACCGTTTGAGACTTGTTCTCATTGAGCTTGTTATGCATGACCTCGGCCAATACATCCCACGACCATCCAGCAGCATATAGCTTCCTTTCCATCAAATCTCGGGTAGCGGTATCTTCTAGTCCATCTACAAAGGCCTTTGCAATATCGCTGCTTTTCATCCACAAAGGCAATTGAATGCGGGTATCTATGGCATACGACCAATACGCCCCCAGCGGTCTCGCATTTTGTCTGAAGAGACGGTGCAAGTTCTCTTGCCCCTGCATGGTCATTCCATTGGACAGGCCTAATTCAGTACTGCGCCGTCCTTCAATCGAACTAGACCTGGATGGGCCCCATGTGGTCTCGGACAACGCCTGCAAAGAGTTTCCCCGTTCTCGCGCTGAAGCAGTGACATCCTTGGGCACTGAGTCAGGAACAAGTATGTCAGACCCTACTCGAGCCATATCTGCTCTCGATCAGTTGACCAAATCGACAATACCCCCCACCCCAAGCAACACGCACGAGTGCAGACAACTTCATACATGGCGAACCGAAGGCCTGAATCATACCAACTAGGAGGTGAATACTTACCGGCATTGCCATGAGATCCTCCTAGTAGTTCATTGACTCGCAAAGAACCCTTCTCCTGGGAAAATATCCTCCGAACCTCATGCATGATCTCTGTCTTCATGGACTCCAATACAAGGGACAACCCTTTCGAACGCGCAGCACACTCGTTCCCAACATTCTCATGTTCCGCCTTCAATCTTCCGTTCTCAATTTCCAGGGCCTCGACGCGCCTGAGCAGATTGTTGGTTCCCTGTGTGATCCTAGTGTCAAGACACTGGAGATTCTTAATAGCATTCGTCTCCGCTTGCTTCACTTGTCGACTCAGTTCATTGACGTTCTGGTTCACGTCGTTGATAGTGTCTACGGTTGAGCTAAGGTCGGCTTTGGCTTTATGGATTTCATCGGCCAGGTGAATGTTTTCGCGCCGGATTTCGTAGGCCCATAGGAGGGAGGAGGGAGTTGGCTCCCACTGATGCGGAGAGGGTTCCATTCGGACTTTATGGAATAATTAAGGCTGGTTTTGACAGGCAGGCAGTACACTAAATGAATCGGGAAGATATAGCAGGGTGTCTAAGAGATGGAAGCATTGTACGGTGGGAACGTGGGTTGTGGGTGGTCATCCCACCAACACAACAATTCAGGTCTAAAACATAAATCATGGATGGTATTACCTCTTTGTCTATTGTACTGAAAGTAGGTACACAACCACCCCAACGTCATGATCGTCTAATTGTCCACCCAAACTGCCTGAATGAACAAATCAATTTTTGGCCCGACCTTTCGATTAAGTATGTGCAGCATCCTTAACCAACCAGCGCGAGCTAGGTACAAAAAGGGAAAAAAGTTGGAAAAAGGCGGAAGAGAAACCATGAATTACAGCAATAATTCGCACAAACATGTCGCATCTCCATAAGCAAGAAAACATAGGAAACCATAAACAGCAACCAACAGAGACGCCCTCCGTTAGCCGCCGCGAGTAAAAATAAATGCTGGAGACACAGGAAGCCACTTTTGAAGGATTCTCCTTTGCCAAGAGAAGCACGACGATGTCATAACGCCTTTTCCACCGCAGCTTACCCTTGGACCGCTATTGGCAACTGCGATCGTAGTCCGCATCTTGAGGTATAAAGGTGGGGGTGTTTAGATGAGGTCTGTTGAGCAATTAGCGAAAGGCCCTGTGGGTCAAGATTGACTTGGGGAAGACACTTACCAGCAACGTTCATGGGCATCTCCTCGATCTGAGTGCTGTAGAACTGCTCGATCTCACGCATCATGCGGACATCGTCAGCAGTGACGAAGTTGATGGCAACACCCTTACGACCGAAACGACCACCACGACCGATACGGTGAATGTAGTTCTCACGGTTGGCAGGCAGATCGTAGTTGATGACCAGGGAGACCTGCTGGACATCGATACCACGGGCCAAAAGGTCAGTGGCGATCAGGACACGGGAAGAACCAGAGCGGAACTCCTTCATGATAACATCACGCTGAGCCTGCTCCATATCACCGTGCATGGCGGAAACAGTGAAGTCACGGGCAGTGAGCTTGTCAGTGAGCCAGTCGACCTTGCGGCGGGTGTTGCAGAAGATGACGGCCTGGGTGATGGTGACAGTCTCGTAAAGATCGGAGAGGGTGTCGAGCTTCCACTCCTCCTTCTCAACAGCAATGTAGAACTGCTTGATACCTTCAAGGGTGAGTTCCTGCTTCTTGACCAGGATACGGATGGGGTCGCGCATGAACTTGGTGGTGACCTCAAGGACATCCTGGGGCATGGTGGCAGAGAGCAGGGTGACCTGGGTAGACTGGGGGAGGAGCTGGAAGATGTCGTAGATCTGCTCGGTGAAACCACGCTATTTATTTTATCAACACCGGTGTTCATGGGCGTTCAAGGGCGGGTAGTGAGACTTACAGACAACATCTCATCAGCCTCGTCGAGGATGAAGAGCTTCATGCTGTCGGTGCGCAGGACACGGCGCTGGATCATATCGTGGATACGACCGGGGGTACCGACGACGATCTGGGGGCCCTCACGGAGAGCGTTCATGTCATCACGGACAGCAGTACCACCAATACAGGCGTGGCAGTTGATGCTCATGAAGTCACCAATAGCAACAACGACCTTCTGGATCTGCTGAGCCAACTCACGGGTAGGGGCGACAATGAGGGCCTGGCAGGCCTTCAGGTTGGAGTCGATCTTCTGGAGAGCGGAGATGGAGAAAGTGGCAGTCTTTCCAGTACCAGACTGGGCCTGGGCAATGACATCGTTACCTACAACCGGTCAGTTGACAACTCATTAACCCTAGAAGACAGGAAACCCTACCCTTGATGATGGGGATGATAGCACGCTGCTGGATGGCAGAGGGACGCTCGAAACCATAGGCATAGACACCTAAAACCCCCCCGTTAGTACTTCCTGTTATCGACGTCCTTCCGGTCGAAAAAAAGTTATCACATACCGCGAAGCAGCTCAGGCTTGAGTTCCATGGCGTCGAAGGAGTCGGTGACATCATCGTAGTTAGACTCGATGAGAGCTGTTGGTGTGAAGAGTCTGATTAGCCTGGTTCTTGAAGCCTTGACAGTTGATGCTTGTTCTGTGTGGTGTGGTGCTTTTGTCTTTTTTTTCCTCTTTGACCCGACATCGAAGAAAAAAAATTTGACCAGCGCCACAAAAAACCAAAAAAGTCCGTCGAATGGACTTAGAGACAAAAGTTATGGAATCCACGATAAGAACATACCCTCAGGGACTTCTTCCAATCCTTTATCGGCAGACATGATTGCGACTGTTGTAGAGAAATGATCACAGGCGAAGAACTGTGACCGGAAGACAGTGGGGTTTTGGGTGTGAACTGAGTGAGGGTTTCTTAGCGACAAACGATCCCAGTGGGGTGGCCGCCGTCGCAGAAAATCAAAGTCGGAAGAACTTTCACGGAAAGGAGAAAGACTAGACCTAAAACTCTCAAAAAAAAGAGAGAGACTTCACAAGATCTAGTAGATGTGGGAGTTGAATGAATATTTTATTTCACTGACTGTGTGGAATAGGGAAAGAAGAAGAAGAAGAAGAAAAAAAGAACAAAAAGAATAGCCAACCTTTTTGTCCTTCCTTTCTTTTTTTATTTTTATTTTTTTATTTTAATTTTTTTTTCTTCTGCTGCTGCTTCTTTTCTCAAGCCGCAAAATTTTAAAAATTTTTTACCGGGTTAGCGCCAATCAGTTCTGCCCAACGGATCTATACCGCCTTCCGTAAATAGTAACCTACCCACGTTTTTGCCTGGTGCGTTTTTGCCTTCGCGGTTTGATTCGAGCCTGTCATAATTTTTATAATTATTATTTTTTCTTATTTTCTATGATGGTTACTATCGGAAGTAGAAATTTTGCCATCAGAGTCATTCGATTTTGCCGGTTTATAGTTTATCGCCCCTTTTAATTTGTTCCAGGGGTTTGCACTGGACTGGCTTGTTGTCCTTTGGCTCTTTCGCATTTCTTCATATTTCTTTTCTGTTTGTTGGCGGGCAGTATCAAACCCCACCCGAAAGGGAAGGCCTAACGCTTGTTTCCAAAATGCCGGACATCGCTTCACTGGACAACCACGATTTGGTCGGGCATGATGCAATTCCCGGTCATCCTTTGGGGGTGAAGCCCAGTGGCAATGCTTTGCTTGCCCAGGAGAATCTTCGTGCTGCGATTGGAACCTTCAATTTGTTACCCGATGAACTGATCTTAATATTACTAGAGTGTCTTGATGGACGCAGTTTGCTGCGTATCGGGCAGACATGTAAAGCCTTCTATGCGTTTACTAGAGCCGAGGACTTTTGGAAGTCTCTTTTCATTGGGTAAGAATTTTATAGATTGGAACTTCCTCTTCCATTGTGCTTCTTTTTGTTGGATTTTGCGATTGTTTCCGATGTATATCAGTTCTGGAACGGGATAACTGGGGACGAATTCTGGGATGCGTGTGATCGTATAGGACCAGGGATATTGCCCGTGCTGTGCAGCCTTTGTGTTATGCCTGTCGTATAATACTAGAACTTCAGTAGCTGGTCGTGTACTAAGATTGTTTTAGATCTCCACCAGCCTCGTTTACCTGGCAAGGAACATGGCGGTCTACCTATCTCAACATCCCTCCATCTAAAGCAGCCATCCTAGACTGCTCGACGTTGTACTCGGATGCCCTACACCGTCCCTTCTACTGCGCGCATATTTCCTTGGACCCCTACGTCACCAACATCCCGCCCAGAAACCAAATCGCTCGTTTGCCGAACCTCTCCCCGCTAGAATTTCATGAGAAATGGTCCGACACTCCATTTATCCTGACCGAGCCTGTCAAAGAGTGGCTGGCCTATCGAACCTGGACCGTTGAGTCGTTGTTATCGAAATATGCGGAGACGGTATTCCGTGCGGAGGCTGTGGACTGGCCGTTCAAGACATACGTGGAGTACATGAAGAACAATTCGGACGAGAGCCCTCTCTACCTATTTGACCGGGCTTTCGTGTCCAAAATGGACCTCAAGGTCGGTCAACCCGATGAGGAGCCCGACGCCACATATTGGCCGCCACCATGTTTCGGAGAAGACTTCTTCTCCGTCTTGGGTAATGACCGCCCTGATAGGCAGTGGCTGATCATTGGCCCCGAGCGGTCAGGAAGTACTTTTCATAAGGATCCTAATGCCACTAGCGCCTGGAACGCGGTAGTCCGCGGCTCCAAATACTGGATTATGTTTCCCTCGTCGTCCAAACTCCCCCCACCTCCAGGAGTCTATGTCTCCGAGGACCAGAGTGAAGTGACATCCCCTCTGAGCATCGCAGAGTGGCTTCTAGGCTTCCATGCCGAAGCCCGGCGCACACCGGGCTGCATCGAAGGTATCTGCCAGGAAGGAGAGATTCTGCATGTGCCTCGGGTTGGTGGCATTTGGTGGTAAACATCGAGCCGGCCATCGCAATCACACAGAACTTTATCCCGCGTGCACACTTGACCGCAGCTTTGGACTTCCTGAGTAACAAAGCTGATCAAATTTCGGGATTCAGAAAAGATGTTCACAACCCTTATGAGCAGTTTGTGAATAAAATGCACGAGGCCCACCCAGATTTACTTGAACAAGCACTTGATGAGCTAAAAAAGAAAGCTGAGGGCAAAAAGCGGAAATGGGATGAAATTGTCCACGGAAAACCAGAGCAAGACGATGCTGGAGACTCTGCTGAAGCAGGTGGATTCAGTTTTGGATTTGGAGATGACGGGAGCGACGTGGAGGTTCCCTGATCCATAGGTTTGATTATGACTGATGAACAAGACCGACTCCAGGTCAGAAATACAAAGACACCATTATGTGATATGCGGTATATGCTATCGAGCGGCTCACCGCTAAGCTTTGCCAAGCTTGAAACTTTCCACTAATTCTGAGACGCAACAATTATCTGAAAGGGAATAATCAATGGCAAGCAACGGTCTTTGCAGCTGACATATTCTCCCCGAACACAAGATATCCTACGAATGCTCCAACGGCAACTGCAATCATGACCAACCCATTGTACGTCATGAACAGCAACCTGACCAATTAGTATTTAGATCGAGGATCTGTCACCAGAAGGGGTTCGAGCTCACATGATAAAGAAGCTATAGAAGACCTGTACAGCATATAATGCGGCCATGATGAGCTTTCCCCGCTGCTCCACAACCCTCCTGTTGTCCCTACCTACAAGTAGCGGTGAGCTTTCGTCGCAGGAATGAGGAGCATAGCTTGAAGGGGCGATGGCCGGGGCAGATTCGCCGACGTTCTCATTGCCTTCAAGGTGTCAATAGAATCTGACTCAACCAAGCCCCCTGACAGATTCTCCCCTCGAAATGATTGTATATCGCATAGTAAAAGCAATAGATGAAATATAAGGCTTACCTCCCACTGCAGGCGTATTGAACGCATTCAGCCGTTGTGCATGCGCTGCCTCATACCGCCTAGTCAATTGTCGAATACCCTCGTAACCCGCCGTCAAAAGCACAATAACAACCAAGGAGACAAGGAGGGAGAAGGGGCCGTCGACACGCCACTGGCGGAATATAATGCAAAGGTCTTTGGAGGACCATGTAAAGAGCATCTAGCGTTGCTGTCAGTTAGACCCGTCATAGATTACCCCAAGTACATCCCAATATAATAAATTATAAGCTCACATTCATATTACACTGTCCTCCCATGTCCATATCCCCATGTCCATGACCATGGTCCATATCCATCCCCGCGTGGTGCATTGAGTGGTCCATATTGTAATATCAGCCTGATAGCTTAGGAAGTACGGAATAAGAAACAGATCTTCTTATAGAGAGAACAGGAGACTATTCGAAAGGTATAGCACAGAGATATTTCCCAAGTATTTAGCAAGAAAAGCAGCACAGGGTTGCTGACGCCATCAACTCCTCCCTAGATAGGCCGCCGCAACATGTTGGACTGATTGACCGCCCGGCAACTCAGCAATGCAAACTAGCCAAACACCATCGATAAGACGTGCGGCCAAATCCAGACCTTACCTCTTTCTTTCCCCGTTCTAGATCGATCGAGCAGGCCAATTGCCAGGAAGAACCGTGGAAATACAGCTCAAGTCCAGTCACGAGAAATTTTACAAACCCGTTTAGTAAACCGAATTCTAAACATCGCGTGCAAAGCGAAGCAACGAGCATGACGGAATCCGCCCCTCCGCCCTCCGTCCCCAACACGACCGCAACGCCGGCAGGCCCAACAACCACCGCAAATCAATCCACGGCCTCCAACAATAACAACAGCAATGGAACAGCATCGGCTCAGAGCGGCGCCAACCGCGGCCTACCATACTATGAGAAACTGCGACGCGAGCTACGCGACACGTTACAGAAGAAGCGATTAATGGATAAGAGTATGGTATGTTGCCTATTGGATTCATCCCGTGCGGCTTGTTACATCTCCCATAGTTTAGAAGGCCGTTTCTTTACCTATTACAGCGCTAATACAGGCGGACATGCAGGCCCAACTCGAAGATCAAATCTTTCGCTTCGAACAATCCTACCTCGAAGAAACAACTGCCGGGAACATCATTAAGGGATTCGATAATTATATCAAGGGCTCATCTAGCGGTGCCGGCGCTGGCGGGTCATTGGCGCTTTCTGGAGGCGTAGGTGGCGCCAGAAGAAAGGCACAGGTGACGGATGCCGATCGCGTTTTCTCGAGAAGCTCGGCGAGCTTTATGCGGGTATGCTCTTTCTTTTAGCCGCAGTCTTTGGTCAGGCACGGGAATCAATGGCTAATATTATCGAAGGATTCGACACCATCATCTGTTCAGACTACTCCGTCGCATGCCCCAACCCCGACATCTGTCAATGGATCGTCAGGGAAACCGAATGGCGATTCTTCTGCGCCTGGAAGTGTGAAAGGAGGATCGTCTTCGTCGAAGAATAAGAAAAAGTCAAATGCTAATAAGGATAAGAATGATGACGATGATGAAGCGGGAGATAAGCCACCCACGAAGAGGTTGAAAATCAGCTACGGAAGGGATTGATCAGTCGATTTTAACGGGAGTTTCGAGTTGATTGCTTGGGTTTATCCTGCTTTAGATATGGGATTACGGATCGGATCGGTGATGGAGCTTATAAGGCGCTATGGCTTTGGCTTTTTGATTCAGCTAACGAACATCTGCATGGACTTTTTCTTCTATATACTCTCAAGATATCCTTTGTATTATCAAGCGCATAGCTTATCAAAATTACCTCCAAAGATAATGATACACGTATCGCCCGAAAACACTTGACTACAGTTGCAAACGGTAGGTAGCAACCTCATACGCCCTTAACTCAATGCCAACATCCGTGGTTTCCTTACCCTTGGTAACGGCAAGAGCTGTCTCATTATCCTCAAGTATGTTGCACTTCCAGACCTTCTTGACAGGCAACTTAGTGTGAATAGTGCCCCGGCTCTTACCGCCAAGTGACTCGTAAATACGCAGGATAATGCTCTTTCCTGCGCGACGGGGTAGATTATCTCGGGAGACATCATCGTCATCTTCACCACGCTTAACCACATCCAAGATGAGCGATGGGGAGCCGCTGATGGAGAGAGAGTTAAAGATATCCTTATTCTCAGAGCCAAATGCTGACTCAAGAACAAGTGGATGGTTGAAATTGTACCCTGCTCGGATGGTGCGCGAATCAAGAGGCCCAGCGTGAGGCAGGATCGCATATCGTATGTGATGACGGCCCATATCTGCGTGCGCGTCCGGTGCTTTGGGTGCTCGGAGCAGAGATAGACGCATTAGGTTGCCACAGGTTGCAAAACCGTATTTGGAGTCATTCAGGACCGACACGCCATATCCATTCTCAGACAGATCGGCCCATTTGTGGCAGCACACTTCAAATTTGGCCATATCCCAGCTAGAAGAGTCAGTCGGGTCTAACTTTCATAGTGAACGGCGATTTGCTTACCTGGTGTTGTAGTGTGTTGGTCGTTTGATGATCCCATATTGGGTCTCGTAGGATGCTTCTGTATTTGTGATGTCCACAGGGAACTCTACCTTGAGGAATTTCATAGTCTCTCGCCACTCAACCTCACTATCAAACTCTACGTATGATGGTTCATCTCCGGCAACAGCAGAAAGACTGATTGTTGTCTTAGCCCAGCTGTTCTCACTGATCTGAGTTTCGGTGACGACACTGGCGCGATATGGGTCATTCTCAGCGATGGTCGTTCTACTGGAGTGCAACTCCTTCCTTGACTCCAGATGGAAAACTTCAACATCCCAAGCTTGCCAGTAAAGCGGCTTATCATCAAAGATAACCAGCTGCCCAGCCTTGCCGCCCTTCGCGATCACCTCGCGATCTGCCTCAACATCGAATAGGGATGTGATCACTCCATTGTGGATGTCAACCCTCAACTTTGTATTCTCAAGGCGGAACACCCCAGGCCGGATCTCCGACACGGTCACTCGAGTAGAAGTGGCTGGGTTGGCACGATACTCTATTAGACCCGTCTTCCCGCTAACCACGGCATACTTGCGGCGGTTTGCTTCTTCGAACCCAGTAGGGAGCTTGACAACCTCCGAACGGTGCCAAGGCAGAGTGTTGATTGCTACAAGGCTCTTGGAAGGTTTCTTGTCTCCGAATCCAAGAGTCTCAAGGGCTTGTTTCCTGACCTTCTGGCCGGTTTCGAAGATCTCGGCATAAAGTTTGTCAGAGTCATCGTAGCACATCTCGATGGAACTGCCCGGCAGACAGTCGTGGAATTGACATAGGAGCACGCCCTCCCACATATCATCTATCTCCTTCTTGGGATATCGATAATTGCCACTAGATTGCGAGACAGACGCGAGCGTGGCCAAATACTCGATCTCCCGAAGCAAGAACTCAGACTTGCGATTATTTCTCTTGTTGTTCGCTTGAGTAGTATATGTACCCCGGTGTAGCTCGAAATAAAGCTCACCATACCATGTAGCGAATTGTGTGCCCTCCTCAACCTTCTTCTCTAGTCTTGCGAAGAAGTCGTCCACTGACTCGCCCATCTTTACGCGTGGAAGCAGGCCCGTCTTATCACTCAGGCCACGGCAGCGGCGCAGCTTCTCCAAATGCTCGAAAGTCGGCCCACCTCCGCCGTCACCCTTTCCGAACACAAGAAGCGATGTGTTATCGTTGTCCATGGACTTGTGCTGCGTGACACTGCGTTTCACATCACCGAAGTGAGCCGACGCAGTGTACGTCTCTGATGGCGCCATATGGCACATAACTTGGCTGCCATCAAGCGCAACCCACTGGAAGGTAGTGTGTGGGAAATTATTTATGTTGTTCCAGCTAAGCTTCTGGGTAAAGAAGCGACTCATGCCAGCTAGACGGCAGATCTGGGGGATCTGCGTTGAGTAGCCAAAGGTATCGGGTAACCAGAACGTTGTACAACGCTCACCGAAGTGGCTTTCAAAGAAACGCTGGCCATAGAGGAACTGTCTCACCAATGATTCTCCACTGGGCATGTTGGTATCATGCTCAACCCAGCTACCACCAATCGGTTGGAAGTGACCCTTCTTGATCCATCCCTTCACGCGGTCGAAGACTGAGGGGTAGTATTGTTTCAACCATTTGAATTGCTGTGCCTGCGAGCAAGTAAAGCGGTGTTCCGGATATCGCTCCATCAAATCACACTGATTTGACCATGAGCGAGCCACTTTACGCTTAGTCTCTGCCCAGGGCCACAGCCAGCACGTATCGATATGGCAATGCCCGATTCCGTAGACAATTGGTTGTGTATCAGTATCATACACCTCCGATGAATCAACTTTGTCACCGAGGTATCTCCTGGCGATCTTACGTCCTTCCTTGATGGATTCCTGGCTCCCACTGCCAGCAATGAAAGCGTCCATAATAGCATTAGCTACTATGTTGGCTTCATGGGATTCCCAGGAATCTCCAGGAAACTCTCGAGCAGCATCTACATGATGTTAGAACAGCTAGTCAGTAGACACAACGGAGAGTGGATAAAACAAAATGCAGGTTTGAACTCCATACCTCCGATTATCCAGAAATCATAGAACAATGCTCGCGCCTCAAGGTTAACAGCTGTGATCTGTGCTTTGTGCAGGGTAAAATATTTATCAGGAGCTGGTGGCTGAATCGAATCCCCGCCAGGTGCATTGCCAAACATCCCATTACAAGCCATTTCGATATAGAAGGTATGCTCTTTCCCATCGCGCCAGGCGTCAGGGATGATCCACTCGATACGCTCCCCGCCACCAGTGAGCCCTTGTAGCGGGTGACCATCTTCGGTCCAGACTAAACCCTCATTATTCGCATCCCAATGAAACTCCAGCCGCTCTTTTTGACGTAAGTCCTGAGGAACTGTCAAGTGGATGCGGAACCAGTGAGTAGACCAACTAGGACCAAATGAAGCACCGATATGTGTTGGCTTGAAGTCATGTGAGGTTGCCTCTTCAAACGTAGGGCGCTCTAAATTCGGGACCGAGTATACGGAGAGCTTAACGTGGTCTTTGTCAGAGTTCACGGCTTCATAGAATTTACTGTAGGGCATTAGACACATGTACTAGTGGCGTGACTAGCGATTATGTTTACATACGAAACGAGATTCTGTCCCTCGTACTGGCCGTTAGCTGTAAACTGTCTCAAACGATCTGTATAGATGCCATGAATGCGTTGACCGACGGGGCCGCTTGGAGCTCGGGGAAGAGAGCTAGAAGCTTGTCGCGGAACGTCTCCACCCATGATAACGGTTCCGATCAATTGTGGGTATAATGATTAAGCTTATCAGGATATCGGAGAGTGATGATGTCTGCATCGGAGCAGGGATAGAGGATGGATGTTAGAGAGTGTGTCAATTGAGAGAGACAGCAAGAGAAGGAGTGGAGGGGGGGAGAAAGGCAAAAGAGCTAATCACTTCCAGGGTGGGATCCAGGAACGAAACAGCAGGTGACGCCGTTTGCATTCCAGCTACGACGTAAATGCGGAGAAATCCTGTGACCTGGCCATGGCGGGGAAACCTCCAATCCGGATGAGCATGGAATGTGCCCATTGGAGCCAAGAACCAGCACCTACCTACATGATGTATCACCGATACTAGTATTCAGGTCTTCTTGGGTTCAAACATCCTATGAGCACAAGTACAAAATAAGAACTTAAGATACTCATAGGGGAAGAATTCTATACTAATAATGCTACTTTTCCTAGCTCTGCCCGGAATCCCAGACTTGAAAGCTAGCCAAACCTGTTCAGAGGCCCCAAGTGCCTCATCACATTCAGTCAACAAAAGAGAGAATCGCTAGCGTTCATGCAAATTTATCATAACTCAGGCAACAATAGTAAAGGTGTATCGAATGTCATGCACATAAACAATCAATTCCCCCAGGAATCTAACCATAACGCCTAGCGTAACTACCTCCGGGATATCGAGAATGAGAATATGGAAAGTGTACAGGGAAACTCAGAAGAAATGGGGGGAAAGAAAAGAAAAAAGACTGAAAGAAAAAGTGGGGGAGTAGATAGAGAAAGGCAGAAGGTGAGACGGGCCATAAAGTGGATCAACGATGTAGATGATACAAGATGCAGTAAGACGACTAATCTGCCAATGCCACTAGTTATGCGCAGTCAGATCCAGGGATCAACCCGACCGTAGGTAGTGTATGGGTTGACCGGACCAATTAGTCTGATCTTGGATTTCAATTGTCTTCGTCTTCGATCGACCTGAGCCTGAATTATCTTCTGTCTCGCTTCATCCAGCGCTATTAGGACATGGCTCGTTCCATCCTGCAACACTCTCACGCAGAATCGTGTGCCTTGCTGTAGTGTAGAGCATGTTGATTGTCCGGTCTTCGAAGATGTTTCATATTGAAAGGTTGTGGCCTGTTTCCGATATTTCGGAAATCTTACATTGCCCCTTTGCCGATAACTGATCCTCTTTTCACGTCCGGGCTTCTCCCGCGTGACTGGTCCATACCTTTGGTAAGCTGAAATGCGAACGACTGGCTGTTTCTTCTGATAGGATTTTATCGAGTTCACTGTTCTGTCGCTTTCGTCCTCACTTGAACTGCTGCCCATCGAGAGCCGCTTCAGGTCGGCAGAGAGATAGAGAAAGTTCTGCTGTGGCCCTGTGCTTCCACGATCGGAATAGTTAGAGTAGTTGCTAGAAGAAGTCTTCCGGGAACATCTGTATTCTTCAGGAAACTCAGAGGGGGCTGTCGACGCTCGTGGTCGTCGCTTGGGCTTGGTTTTATCAATGGAGTTCTTGGATAGCCTCCGTTGTACATAGGAGCGGATAGATTTGCGTACATCAAGCGCAAGTGCTCGCTTGTCAGGCGAAGTACAACGAGGACTTATCTTCGTAAAGTCGAATGCTGCTAGGTTCAACCGATTGCTGTTCTGCTTCCGAGGCGCAGGTGGAAACTTGGGATACCCAGGCGGCAGGTCTGATGGCATCGCAAGCTCTGGGAAGAACTCCCACTTTTTCTCTCTAAAATAATGATTAGGACCGGCGCGAGTTGCCGTCGGTAAAGGCCGGGGACGGTGATGATCATCACACAATGTGGTGAGCGTCAGAGGTGATGGTTCTGGTTTGTTATAAGGCTTCACGGGGGAAGAGCGATCTATACTAGAGATAGGAGAATGTTCGACGAATTCGTCCAGAGTATCCGAGGGTGAACGAACACAAACTGGGTAGCCTTCTGACGACGCATCAGACGTACGGCGAGTTTCAAAGCTGACATCTGTGCTGCTGTCGTCGCTCCATCCCATCGAACTCTCCATCGAGGGTGTCTCGGGTAGTGGTTTCGCAGGCAGCTCGGGCAGAGGCTTATCCAACCGAAGTGCTGACCGAGCAGCAGGCTGAGGTGTATGTGGAGGCACGACTTTCTCTAGTCCCTCGAGTGACCGAGATGGTCTCACTGGAGGAGCCTGTCTTGGGACAGCGAGAGAGTTCGGTGAAAGCATGGCTGAGATCTATATTTAAATAGTGTTCGTGGTGGAGAAGAATGTTCTATCTGTCCCTTCCCCGAGGAAAGAGGGGAGGTAATCGGGACAGGACGGCGGTGCGAGAAAGAGGTGTTGATAATAAGCAAAGTAGTCCAAGAAGCAAGCAACCACGCCTGTGTCACTTGGAATATCGAATAAGGCGAGATTATGCCCGATAGTGCCGTACAAGGCTTCCAAATCCCAAAGCTCAATATTATTTATTCTTAACTGCGTGATGACGGTCACAAGACCCCGGTCCCCGCAAAGTCAGCTTGTGGCTTGAGCCTAATCCTGGCCTGCAGAAGAATTCCCAACAGCGGACCACGCGGGACCATCTTTCTTTAAGAAATAAATAAAATGAGCGAGGCTTGGGGGGGTGCAGGTAAGAAGAAATAGAAGCAAACAACCGACAAAGAAATTAGAGATAGTGTGATATAAAGGGGTGGAAGATGCAGCTAAACGAGGCAGCCAGTTGGGGACTCATAATAATACTCTAGTATTATTATCCACATCCCTGGATAGAAATATCCGGAAATGGCAGCCCAAGAAATAAGAGACTCATCCAAAGTGTTGTGGTCTGGTCGTGGGTCTCCTGCAGGATCGCCATGGTCGTGGTCATCATGGGCAACAATAACCTCATGGACCGACGACAGGGTGACACACCCATGCAAGGGATACTCTGGTTTTGCAGCGCTTGCACCGATCTCAACCGCCAAATCGACTATCGCAATTAATAGATGACGAAAGAGTTCGTCCTAGAAGCATAATTTCTGGAACACGGGAAATAAACTCATTACTAGAACTAGTCGATAGAGGTTATGTGGCATCTAGAAAGGGTTGAAAGTATAGTGCTGAAATATATCCGAAAAGGTAGACCTGGAAGGTCGTGCCCGCAGCGCAGCAAGGAAATCGTCCTTGGGGTAGGACAACACCGCACTGAGCAGGTGGATCCGGTACCTGCCGTGGTGCCCAGTCCCCACACTCTTAGGGGATCATCGTCCTTGACACCGCAATTCCCTTGAGGCCGATCCAAATGAGTGGAGCGTTCACTGCACCGTCAGCAACCAGGATGAACTCGAAGGAAGTCGAAGGCCACTAAACTTCTGTACCAGCGCTCGATCGCGTTAGACGCTCCATGTGTTCATTCTCCACAACAAAGAAAACATTCTATGCCATGAGCCGCCACATTCCTAGTCGCCTGTTCGCCCGATACTAGTGACAAATGCGAGGACAGATAAGAATCGTATCCGCGTGTTTTCACTTTTCTTTTTCCTATTCCTCTTTTTCTCAACAGGCTCAACTTTAAAATGGCTATGTATCTGGGTTGCGCTGGTCCATATACGCCTAGAGTCTTCATCCGCCACAGAACACTGGATTCGTGCCACCCATACAGTTGGATCTGTCACATTTAGCGTCTTGCGGTGAACACCGCTTAAATCCTATCTCGAAATTAAACTTCCAGTGACAGCGTCATCGACTTCATAGTACAGGAACAAGATATGACGGTGTAAAACAAGAAAGAGAACCCCTCTTCCGTTTTTCCTCCATGTGGACCTCAAAAACTCTCCTCCTGATTCCAAGGACTTGGAGCTGGGCCCGGATATCGTACCACGCTAATTCGGATAACCCTAACCGTCACCTCTAATGCCTTATGTCCTCCGATTGTTGAAGTTCCTTATTCAAATAGCTCAACTTTTTTTTTCCTTGTGTAACAGGGAAATCCTCATTGCCCCTCATGTTGGTATAACAATTATTCAGTAGTACGAAGCATGAATTTACTATGGCTGAACTTAGTAGACTAGTACCTACCTGTCTGTTCGCTGTGATGGTAGTACCCGTTACATGCAGCAAAAAGTTTCGTAGAACTAGAATCTATACCATAACCCAATTAATGCTACGTTTTACGCATTATCAAAACGTAATGCAGCTTGGCTAGTTAGAAGTTATTCTCGGCTCTTTAGGTAACACCTCGAGCAAGACAAACTCCTCTTCAGAGCTGAAGTGCCCCGAGCCTGACCATTTTTCACAATGAACTGAATCAAGCTTGAAGTTATGGATAAAGATTACTTGGTGGAAGGTTACGAATTTGGTCCATCACCAGGAGCTCATTTCTAAGATTTTCCATAAATAGCTGAGTTGGTTCCCAAATGGGGAATTTCACGAAACATCATTACTCAGGTGACAGCCAGGCGCATAACATCAGGGAGGGGGGAATTAAATAAAATAAAACAAAACTTGAGGAAATGCAGAACACATCACACCTCCTGTGAGCGAATTATTTTGCATGCACACGCTAGAAGCGATGGTGCCGAATGCCACACATGGCAACCCAAGTATATGGACACATTCTTCCATTATTCAAAGACAAATTGTATTCTAGGCCTTACCCGATTTGCTCACAATGAATGAGACTTGAGGCATATCCGCGCAGGCTTAGCAAGCTATAACTTACCTACGCGTCTAGCCCGGACACTAGTATGACAGTTTCTGGGATCTCCCTGGAACGGTTCCTCTATCCCTGCACTAGACCCACTGTGATGGTAGTAGCTGTCCCCCATGGTTCACGCTCGTGTCTGATTCCCAGCCTTTCAGTCATTAGTTTCCGTGTCGCTCGCGTAATCACATCTGTCCTACCCAGGATACCTCAGAGATCATCCCAGTCTTCTGGGTATCCCTGTGCTGCAAGCAGCCCCTGTTCGTTAAGGCCGCGTGGAGCGGCTGAAAGAGACTGGCAGTATGCCAAGCGTGGTTCGGACATATTTCGAGTTAGGG